TAACAAGACCGCGAGCAAAGCGTTTGAAGGACATTTCAAATGGATAAATATTTATTTATATCAAATGGCAGGCGTTTTGATAGTTATCATTAGCCCTTTAGTTGACTTCAGGCTTCATAGAGGGGAAGGAACATCAGAGTGAAAAAAGTCTATGTGGCGGGGGCAAAAGATTTTCAAAGATGTAAAAGAGAAGACACAAAGGTAGAAAAAAGGTGAGATGAGTACCGCGACAGTAGATGAATATGACATACAGTGAAGTGAAGGTAGTTTGAAGTCAGAAGTCAACTGTCGGTTAATAGACCTTTTGCCGTATGGGTATAATCTATCCAGGGTGCACCACGTGGAGGTAAGTCTATACAATGTTATATAGAGATATGTAAATTTTTTTTAATTTTGAAGATCCCCAAACCATCTGCCTGTTTACTGTACTCCTGGTTTCTCATGGGTTGTGGTATAGTCAGTGCTTATAGTACTGCCTTAATCATAAACGACATCCACTTTAGGCAAAATTTATTGCTGGGGTGAAGGGATGTGTTAGTGGAAAAGCAGATTAATTAAGGGAAGGTTAAATTTGTCGTGGCTGGCTCATTTTACTCTCAAGATTTTAACAGAGCTCCACATTAATTGAAATCAATATTGACCATTTGTTTCCATTTTATTAACCCAGTTGAGCGCAATTCAAACACCGCCACCAAATATTTTAAGTGTCTTGCTTTCAAAATGAACAACTGAAAATTTAAACAGGATTGGTCCCCTCAATGTCTGCATGAAAACAAAGTTGTGGCTACTGTTCTTGTCTTACGTGCCGTAAAAATTGTTTTAATAGAAGGATTTAAACATCTTGCTCATATTCATATCATTTTATGATTATTTGGTAATAAATGTATCATGGCAACTTGAGAGTCCTAATCTTTTTCGATTATTGAAAATAAGACATTAGGAAGTAGTAAACTTGATAACGCAGAAATGACTGCCAAATAGCTTAGCACTAGACCAGCTCAAGGATTTAAGTCGGAAATCACGCTAACTTTATAACGAACAGCAGAATAGTTAGGGACTTTCTAGCGGTGGTAACCATTTGTCTCATTGAAAAATGTCACATATTTTTACTCCTCATTGGGAAAACGTTCAATGTACAATTTCGTTCAATTCAACTACTTTTAATAGATAGCCTGCAAAATGCTAAATGGTGAAAGTGAGTATTCAGGTTGTACGAAATAATAATGAGGTAAAGACTCCCTCAAGGTCAAGAGTAATTTATTTAAAAACTATTTCTTTTCTTTGTTCATCTATAATAAGGGAAATTATTCATCTTGAAATTAACTTTGACATTTAAGCTTTTTTGAAAATGCCCGCTTCCTGAACAAGGTCATTTAGGCCTTTTAACTTGTTTAAATGCACAAATCCATTTAGCTACTCGATGTACATAAAGGAACCGAAATGGGCAAAAAATGTATATTTAATTCAAAGTGCTGCTAACTCAAAAGGAAAAACAGTTCCCAGAGACCAAGGATTTAGGTTTATGCGTGTAATTAAAAGTCCACTGATTTTACGATTCTGAAAATAATAATAAAAAAGTTTTAGAAAATGTAAAAAAATACTGTGCTTGGCTGTCTGAGCATCCGTTCTTGTTAGTTAAGTATTGTGGAGGTTTATATTTAAAACTCTGTTCAATAAAAATCTGAAGTTGATTCACAGGCAAATATTTAGTAGCCTCAGAGTGGCATAAATGAACGGGTTCTCATTTCCTTTTGCGGTTTGAAAAACCAATTCGTATTCTGTCGCTCCAGAAATAGAAAATTGAGGTGAACATAAAATGAAAGCCACGTGAAGTGAGACTTCTGATGCTCAATCTACTAGCATCTATGAGACCAGGAATTTGAGTAGAGACAATAATTAATGTAATTACATTTTTGTGGGAGTAAACTGATAAATCCTCATACAATGTTATTCATCAGTTAACTGTTCAACCATATAAATACAAAAAAGAATGCTGGAATGAACTGTTTTCAAATCCATTATAATGCCGTTATTTACTTTTATAGGCAAATCTCCCAATTCCCCGATGTAGGTAAAACATATAGCAGTGTCGAAAGCTTCAACTCAGAAGCATCGAGAGAATCCCTATCCACAAGCAAAGACAGTCATCAGTCTTCCCTCTGCTATTCCAATGACAAACCTCCTCCGGTAGCCAACAGGAACTCAGTTCGCAGCCAATCTGCTCACACTCGCCCAATTAAAACTCAGCCAGAACTACCACCTTCAATTAGTGGAAGGCAAGGAGTGACTAGCATATACTCAAATGATTTAGATGAATGTTCCTCAATGGAAATTATTCGACAACCTCCGATTCTCAGCGGAATTAATAGTAATACAAGTACGCCACAGAGAACAGTGTAAGCTAACAGTAATCTATATTGAAATATGATTCCTACTTATATATATTAAGTAACCATTGTTTTAGATGCACTCCTGTTGGCATATCGCAAACGGCGCCAATAAGCGATTACTATGCCAACGCCTTTGAGAACGGCTTTCAAATGATAGGCCCAACGTGCCCACCGGCTCCCAACCCAGCCCATTATTTTCAAGCTTACCTCCCCCAATCACATTTCAATGCTACCTTTTCAGATGGTCAAATCTACGACCAACCTCCCCCTCCCACTCCAACCGAAACTAACAAGCAGATTACTCGGAACGGAAATCATCATCAAAAGCCATCTCAAAGACTGTATGAAGGGATCTCATACAGAATGATCCCTCCTATGCCTCCTGCAACCGCTCCAGCATCCCGCAAACGTTTTGGTAGAAGTAACTATGAAAGTGGAGATCTGAGTTTTGATGATACTGAGGAAGATGATGATGATGTAGAGAACGGAAAGGGTGGCACACTTTCAAGGAGAAAGCCAGTTCCACCGATGGGTATTCTTGTGAATCAGTACTCGCGTGAGAGTCTCCATTTTGTAAGTATTTGTTAATCACTTCATTCATAGACGACTTCGTCTACAAAAATACATGAAAGATAATTAATCTGCGCTTGAAAATTAGAAACAATCTCAACAAACTATTTCCATCTTATTAAAATCATTAATATATATTACTGACTGTTATATACGGCTGTCATAGTAAAGGGGAAGCAGAATTAATTTATGTGATACACCCCTCAATCTTTTGGTGACTATTCGAATTCTCTTCGTGTTAATTTTACTAAAGTAGCTGTCAATTACGAGACTGAATGCCCGCAGGTTAGGTAGGCAGTACACTTTTACCGTATTTATTATTAGACCAAAATTTTAACACTTAAACAAAATACGCTTGATATTTTCTTTTTAACCTTAAGTTAGCTCCTATTTCGCCGCAGTCATTAGCTTTACAAGAATTATTCAATATTTATAGGAGGAGCCAAATAAATTCAGTTGAGATATATAATATTTATTAGGTATAATTTGGGAAACGTCACACTTAGAGACGTTCATCTTCTCCTCTAAGCCGTAGCTTAAAATTCAAAACCATGCGATTGAGAGAATAACTAAAGGCTTAGCAAATCAACCTCTGACCACGTGTTGATAAATTTTTTAACATATCATGTGCATGTATTTGTTTTGAAACGATGCTTTGACACGCATAATTTAATGAACTCTACAACTTTCTATTTCGCTGAGGTAAACGTTACTAAACTCTCATACTATGTCATCCATGCCGCACGGTAAGCACCAATCCTCATCGACCTCGTGAACCCCCTCCCCCCCCCCCCCCCAANTTGGCGCACGTGAATGCTGAACAAATCCCCACTACCACTTACCTCATAAAGAGGCATAATCTGGCAACCCCGTTTCATTAACTTTAAAAGTATTTTCGGCAAGAAATTTTGAGGCCAGATTTAATGCTGAGCAATGGGCAAACAATTATTCCCCCCCCCCCCACCACCACCACCCCCAAGGCCATGAAGTGATTGCAATTATTTCACTTTGGCAGATCGAATAAACGCCTGACAGAAACACATTTATTGATTATCGATGTTATGTTAAATTTGTCTGATGCCTAAAATTAGGTTTATTGTCCAAATGCTTAATAGCGTGAATTAACATGATCAAGGAACTTGACGTTAATAGTAAACAATGTAACTTGATTAAATTGCCATAAACCGACTCAAGTTCACTGAAAAATTTGAACTCTTCATATGCGCCATTTTATTTCAAATTAGAACTTTCCCCCTTTCGTATGGGTGAATTTTAAATGAAGAAGTGCCAATAAGGAATCACGAATTTTAAAATCAATGTTAAAATACTACATATCTTTTTAATTGTGTGCTCGACGCTAAATAATGTTTATTCATATCAAATGGCAGGCTTTATGATAGTTATCATTAGCTTGTTAGTTGACTTCGAGCTTCATGGAGGGGAGGAGCATCAAAGTCACAAAATGTCGAGAAGGTAGGGAACAGAAGAGCGATTCACAGATTTAAAAGAGGCAGATAGGCACAAAGATAGAGAAAAAGGTGAGGTGAGTACTGTGAGCGTGGTGGAATTTGACATACAGTGGGGGTGATGGTTGTTTGAAGTGAGAAGTTGTGACATATAGTGGGGTGAGGGTAGTTTGAAGTCAGAAGTCCACTGCCGGTTTATAGACTTTTTGCCGTATGAGTATACTTTGTAACATACAGTGGGGTCATGGTAGTTTGAAGTCAGAAGTCAAGGCATACAGTGGGGTCATGGTAGTTTGAAGTCAGTGGTCAACTATACAGTGGGGTGATGGTAGTTTGAAGTGAGAAGTCAACTACCAGTCAATAGACTTTTTTCCGCATAAGTATACGTTGCCCAGGGTGCACCACATGGAGGTTGTAAGTACACGTTGCCCAGGGTGCACCACGTGGAGGTATGCCGTTTGAGTATACGTTGCCCATTGGTTTATAGACTTGTTTGCCGTATGAGTATACGTTGCCCGTCAATGGGGTGATGGTTGTTTGAAGTGAGAAGTCAACTGCCTGGTTATAGAGCTTTTTTTCGTATGAGTATACGTTCTACAAGGTGCTCCACGTGGAGGTAAGTCTATAGCGCACCCCACACTAAATAATATAATTCCCACCATCGTTTGCGAGTTCTTGCTGCTTTTGAAGCAAAGAATCTTTCAAGTAGTTCTCCACTTCAGTATCATTTCAGAATCTTTTTTTCTCTTTGAGTATTCTACATGGACTTGAAAATGTGTTTATCGTGGATATAGCAGAACCTACCAATGGAAGTCATGAATTTTTTTTTTGGGGGGGGGGGGGTGTGTCATTCCGGTTTCGAGAATTCGGACACTATCATGTTGAAGAAGCATTCTTTTTCTGCAAAATAAAATTGGGCAGTCGACTTTTCATATCTGGGTTAATTTTCCCATATTAAAACTCCTGATCAGTCCACGTTCCCATTTACCCAGGAGTTTGGGGAGTTGACAACAAGCTTTAAGTTAGAGTGTCTCACTTGTTCTCCTTATGGTTGTATTTCCTGATCTTCAATTCTAGCTTCGTCTTATTATTGCACTTTCCCTTAACATAGACAAGAGAGACTCCAAAGAGAAAACCGCTTTCAACCCAAATTTTCCGGCACACAGACCCTTTTGAAATATTTATTTATATCAAATGGCAGGCGTTTTGATAG